CTTAAAATTTTACCATTAAACATTTATAGTAAATTGTTTGTTCTAATTATATTAACATAAAAAAATATCTCAAAAGACAAATCTCTCTGCACTCGACTCATTGTAATAGGTAATAATTTGCCTAGACTACTAGCAAAATGTAAAGCAAAACTATTCATTCATTTCGAAACACATTAATTATTTATTAAGTCGGTAATAATAAACTGAATTAATTGACAATAGACGGATACTTCAAGTAGCCGAGGTAAATAGAAACATTTTTTTAGTCCATTTAAAATACTTATTTATTAGTTATTGTTAGTTACAAATACATTTTTATGCGATTAGTGCTATAATTTTTTTTATAAATTCTGTTAATATATTAATGTTTTGCTTTAGTTGTATAAATAAAAAAAAATACAATCTCATAATTCAGACGCGATAATGGAAGATCTGTAGGTACAAAGACGTTATATTTTATATTTGTGTTTTTTATAATATTTTTTAGTTATAATTCAGGGTGCTACAGTACGGTCGCTTTCTGGTCTTCGCTGCCACTGCATAAATCTATTCATACATCTTTTAATTGATAATTCCTTTTGATATTTTATGGTTTTATACTCCAAAAGTAAATTTCTACATTTTATCAACATAAATTAAATTGGTTAAAAAAAAAAAGTATTAGTTGTAAATTCTACAGCTTAATTGTAGGAGTGTAAAAAACATTGCAGGTTAGAAAACTTTAAATCGCATAAATGAATTGACTAACAATAGTAATAATTATCATAAAAACCATCGTTTTATTTACATTTAGGTGTAAAACTATAGATTTAAAAGTAACTATTTTCGAGAGAAAACATGTAATGAGTAAAAAAAAAAAGTCTTAAAGACCCGCACTAAATTTGTCTGACTAATCACGTTCTAAATATAACGACAAATGATTTTGTCAATTGGGCGCGGACGGTACTCGGACACGATTTTAAAATTTACAAAAATAACTCTATCATCCCTCCCCCGTAGTTTTAGCTTTGGCACCATCCTGTAAATGATCTTTGAAGTTGGTCGTATAAAAATAATGTACAATTAACAATCGACGGAAAAGATGTTTTACCCATTTAAACCATTGTGTCTGCATTAGTTAATAGAGCTACAATAATAGTATGTACATATTTACCTATTATACAAGTGGAACGGTAAAAAACGCGACAGGTTATGGAGGTCACGTTATTACCTATACAATGAATAAACCATTGTTGCGTGCACCGCGACTGATAACGCGTATTCCAAAATGAGATGCACACAACACTAAAAAAACCGTCCGTGTTACGTGTACGTATCCTTTGCCGCGGTGAACACATTGGTCGCGCATTTTCGACACCGAATTTACTGGCCAGAGAAAAAAGGGTCCGGTTGACGACTGTTCCGAGAGTTGATAACGTGAATTGCGTGGGAGTTCAGCCTTTTTTCGATTGCCATAAAACAGTATCGAATCTCGACTGTAATTCAAAACGGTACGAATGAGTCGAATTCGTTGGCGATTATCAAACGACTGTCAAGTTCTCGGTAACAGAAAATCGTGCGAAAGTGCGCTCTGGTTTAAAGTGAAGAGCTCGCGAATTGATCCAACTGTGAAACTACACCGGAAGGCGATTGGTGCAGTTCATTTAAAAAAAATTCCAAGTCTGTTTTAAACATCGTGTTGGGCGCAGCACTGAAGAACGCGTTTTTTACCGACCCACCAAGACAGTCCAACAAGAGTGTAACAACCACATATGATTGTCCGACACTATAATCGCAAGAGAAAGCATGGCCGGCCGGTAGCTGTGATTAATGACTGCTAATTGCAGTTCGCAGCTGCCGTTGCAGCAAAACTTTTACACACGTACACACATTCCGGTACGGCGACTTTTTAACGGCAAATCGATCGATACACGTGTAATACAACAACGTGTGTGTGTCTGGTTTTTGTCCGTCCAAAACGAACAATTACACACGATTAGACGGAGTCGTGTCGGCTCGACGATTGTGCCTAATGATAATTCGTTATCGTCGATCGTGATTTACCACAGTAATAATCGCATAATGATCTACGCCCAGTAATTGTCACGTTGACACACAGTCGATCGGACCGGGTGTGGTGATCGATACGATTGCGGCCGTGGCAAAACTTCGGTTTCCGTTTAAATGTCAACCGCCAGTGTAAAAAACCCAATTGTTTTTCGCCCCGTCTTTTGACAGACCGCAGTGCGCATATTTTACCGGATGCGTTCCCCTCCGGCCGTTGCAAGTTTACGAAACTCTTAAGGACGCACGACAAACTCTCGCCGTTACCACGAGGGGAGGGAGGGCCCGTTGGTCAAGTCCACGACGGGTTGTCGTTTTTATAGATTTCTAAAAAATATATTCGTTTCGACCGATGGTCTCCGTCGAGTGATCCCAAGCCGATCGTCATGACCATTAGCCCGCCCCTACACACACTAAACGATCGTGGTGTCGGTCACCGTACACATTAGACGTACGGGCCGCAGTGGATAAAAAAACCGATTCACATGCACGAGAAATCATTTTTCATCGAATCGTCAAGTGGCGGCGGCGTCTCTGTTCACGCAAACTGCACCCAACCGCGAGGCGCGCACACACGAGGTTTTTTTTTTTTTTTAATTGATATTATTGTTTATTATCATATACATTATGAGTGGTGAGAAATTGGGTGTGAAACGTTTCATTAATCACCCTGTATAAAAATAAAAAACCACAATGGGAAAAAAAAAGAGGGGTGGACAATGAATGCCAGGTGCTCGGCGTGGTCGGCCGTCGCGGTGGACTGTCAGCCAGCGTGCGTGGAAAATTTTCGGTTTTTTTTTTTATTATTTCACCGTAAAAAAACATACACGCCGTAGACAACACCTCGTTCACACATGACGATGATTTACGCGCGTCAAACGCGTGTGTCATGTGCTCGCGATCATACGCGAGTGGGGGAGGAACGTTATGCGTGTAAAGGTATTACGATGAAAAGGACAAACAAATAGAAATTAATAGAAGGAAAAAAAAGTCAGTCACGCGACAAAAACGCTGACAAAATTACCGGCTCGTTTTTTTAACCAAATTACATACGAAACCGTTTGGCGTCACATCATTAATTTGCCGTTGAACGTATACGTGCGGCCGCAGACGGACCACTTCCTGTCCTACGAACAGCTTTGGCCGGATTATGCGTATTAAACTGTGTTTTTTGTAGTACTGTTTGTATTCACGGTGTGTGATATCACCGGTGTAAAAATGTGTCTCGCATATCGTCTGTCCGGACCTCGGAGAAACGACATTTTCTGAGCCATAAAAAAAAACCGATACTCGGTATTCTGTACTCGTATCACGGGTCGGTGTACCTAAACCAGTGTCGTGTGCGTATCCAGTGTTCGGGTAGTTTCCACTTGTTTGGGGTACCTGGCGATACCGCCGCGTCACGTGTGACGAGCGCGAACGTCCAGGTAAATTGACGTGATTTTCCAACGGCTACTGTCCAAGTGCCGCTGTCGACTGGGCGCTCGTACAAGACGCGCCAAATGGTCGTGTACCCGTGCGCTCTTTTTTCCTACGGGCACTGCGTTGTCGCTGTCCGCAAACGCTCACCACTACTGTCTGCGGCTAATCCACCGCACAAGTGTATTCTGTCGGCCGAGAGAACGCTCAAAATGCATTTGTATCTTTATGGCGGCCAAGGTCGCAGCACAATTAAGTACTCGCGTGTACACATAACATATTAAACTATTATCATTATTATTATTATTATTATTATTATTATGTGAGGCGACCCGACGTATTCTGCGACTTCTATTGTACACAAACCACACTGACCTGCAACAAAGTTGTACTCGCAGTGTAAAATCACACGTTCCATTCGAGTGCATCCATTGACACGTTGTATACAAAGTACAATCGACTGCTCTTTTTTCATCATTATCACACTGTGTATCGTTTTCACGAGTGAAGAATCGCCGAGAATATGATGCGTCTTTTTTGTGATGTAAATATAATTAAAAATCAAGTGTCGCAATGCATATGAAAATTATGATTTTGTCGAGTGCAGTACACAACTTCATTTAACGCGCACAATAATCGCGACTATACTCGTACGCGCCATTTAATTCGTTTTCAAGTATTCCGTAAAAATGTATTTATAGTAAGTCATTACTGTGTTATTATTACACGCGATATGCAAAGTTTTTTTAGTTACAATTCTAATGCACATATTTATTCGTAATTTATTGACAATGCGTACAAGACATACATCACAAAAAAAAACATCACGTACGAAAATTATAAATTAATTAAATTATACATACATATATGTATATTATAGTGTATATACGATATATTCGTAAATGTATCGTTGTTTATTGTTTCGAATCAAAATATATGGAAATAGAAAAAATTATAGAAAAATATTCATTCCAAATCAAAACGTTTGAGTTGTACTGGACTTGTAAAATTCACCGAGTCAATTTTGATTTACAATACACTTACATTAAGCGTTGCCTTTTAATTTACAAGGAAAACATTGTTATGGTAACATGTTTTTAATTGAACTCCTTCGGCTGTTTTGACATTACTTAATCATTGCTATCGATAAATTTAAAAAAAAACAGTCGTTTTTCGGACGAATAACTTTTTAATTTTTGGGTAACTATACGTACTATGTATATATTAGTGAAAAATATATTTTTTTAAATTTCCTACATAAATTGGGACGGATACGACAGGGGTCGCGATGATGTCTTTGAGACCGTTACGGTAATGGTGAAGTGCAGGGGAACGGTCGGGACACGCGGTAAAAGCAAGGGGACGGGTGGAAAGGTTAGGCGCGCTGGTCCGGTAGTTGTGGCGGGCGGCACCGGCGTGTGACGTCTCGGCTCCGGATTGGCCACGGAGGCGGGACAACAGGGAATCGATATACCTGCGGCAGTGGGGACACCGTGGCGACGGATCCGAGACTCCAACGCCCGGCCACCGGAGCCGCCACTGCCGAAGTGATAGTATTATTACGGCAGCCGTTCCTTGACGACGTTGTTCGTTCGTGCGCGCGTATGTCAGTGTTTAGTTTTACGTTTTTTCGTTATTATTATTATTATTATTATTTAATTCTTCTATCGTACGTCGTTGTTATTCCATCAACCTTGTAAACGGCAGTGCGCTCGTGAAAATACATTGTCAAATCGAAACGCAAACTCAATTGTGCAAAGCACTTGAATTTTGAATGATAACGCGACCCCGTACGTGTCCAGTGCTTATGCGCGTGTATGTTGTGCGAACTTGTGCGTTTTACATCAATTAGTGTTGTCCATCAACGACAGTGTTCCGTAGGTAAACGCGAACGCTTCTAGTCGTCCGCAACGACGGCGATAATGTTAATGGATGCCGAATTGAAGAACTGCTCAGGTTTGCTGGGCAACGCTGGCGGCGGACACCACGCTGCTGCCGCGCACATGGGCCACGCTGCAGCTTACGGTAACCTAAACCAGATGGGTATGCTGGCCGGTATCGGTCCGGCGGGTGTAGTGCTGGGCGGTCAGCAATCGTTGTCACCGCCACCGCCGCATCACCAACACCATCAGCAGCAGCAGCAGCAGCAACACCAACAGCAGCAACAACAGCAGCATCATCATCACATGCAAGCCGCTCATCACCAACACGCGGGTCACGGCGGTGGACATCTACAGTTGCCTTCGCCCAATAACAATAACGGATCGGTCACTAACAACAAAAATCAACAGCAAAACGCAGATCGCGTCAAGCGACCCATGAACGCGTTCATGGTGTGGTCCAGAGGCCAACGTCGGAAAATGGCCCAAGAGAATCCAAAAATGCACAATTCGGAAATCAGCAAGCGGTTGGGCAGCGAATGGAAAATGTTAACCGAAACGGAAAAGAGACCGTTTATCGACGAAGCCAAGAGACTACGGGCCGTGCATATGAAGGAACATCCTGATTACAAGTACAGACCCAGACGTAAAACAAAGACGCTGATGAAAAAAGAAAAGTATCCGTTACCCGGTGGCGGCGGAGGTCCGCTATCGCTGGGCGGAGGCGGCGGGCCCGGAGGAGTCCAGTCGGACCCACGAAACGCGGTTTCTCAGGCGTCCGCAGCCGTCCAACAACAAATGGTCAACAGCGGCCGTGAGCTGTACCACCAAATGAACGGTTACATGCCCAACGGTGGTTTTAGCATGCACCATCACGACCCCAATCCGTATGCCCAACAGCCGTACGCTTCGGCCCATATGGCAGCTGCCGCGTCTCAGGCCGCAGCAGCCGGTTACCGGTACGACATGCCCCAGATGAACAACAACGCGGCCGCGGCCGCTTCGATGCACTACCTCAACGGTAGCTACAACCTGTACTCGGATATGAACCAGTATCAACAACAAGGTCCGCCGTCCACGTCGCACAGTCCGGACAGCATCAAGTCGGAAAGGATCACGCCACCCGTCCAATCCGGCGGCCACTCGCCGAGTCCCAGGCTGTGCCAGCAACAGCAGTCCGGTGGAAACGGACAACAGCTACACCAGCAACAGCAGCTCGGCAACAGCAGCGATCTGTTACGCATGTACATGCCACTCGAATCCAGGCTGTCGGCTGCCGGTGGTGGCCACAACCCGTACCTGTCACAATCGGCGGCCGTAGCGGCCGGCCACCAAGTGCACGGTCAGAATCTAGTGCAACACCCTCATTCCATGTCGCCGGACCTGCAAATGAGCCATCTCAACCATCACATGTAATCACCGTCCCGTGAGCCATGTGTAAGCCATATACATTATAAATATATAGGTTATTATATACATATAAATATATATAAATACGTTTATATAAAATTAAATAGATACCTTTTTTTTTTTTTTTTTTCTAATTTAATTCCGCCAGTACATAGCGCGTACTATTAACTTATTTTGTAACGCCCGAAAAAACAAAACTGTAATAAAAGTTATTAAGACAATTGTTTATTATTATTTTATACTTTTTTTTTATATATAGATATATATATATATATATATACGCTTATTAAACTCGTGTTGGTGTTGTTTAACAATAGTGGCGATAATAACGCAAAATAACACATTCTCTCTGAAAAACTATGTGTAAAAAAAAAAAACACAACACAAATTTCTGGATGATAATAATGATAATAATAATTATAGTGTAATGGTAATAGTATTTTTAGTTATATTGCCAAATTATTTATTTAAACCGGCAGCCTTTTGTGTAAATTTGTTTTGTACTTGGTACACAAAAGAGCGCCGAGCGAACTTGACTACAACAATTTTATTGGTTTCGCTAAATTTTCTTGACCTTTCTAGTTGTTTTTATTGTTACAACTAATAACAAATACGCGTTTAACTCTTGTAGTACTTACCAACTACGAGCCTCGAGGTTGTGCCATAAACTAATAAGAATTATTATTATAATAATAATAATAGTATATGTAACATTATGTTGTTATTATTAACGCCGCCGCGATTGATAAATTTTTCAGAAATTATCTCATTTTAGTCGGCGGCCGCACTCCAATTAAACGGCCGAAATTCTCTGCTCGTTTCTAATAATAATAATAATAATATTTAACATATTTGTCTCTGATTTCTCGACCGTCGTGTAGTGCGTGTAAATGGTGTACCGGTTTTGTGTCGGCCACTGACGTTCAATGTAATAATATTGTTATTTATTATTAAACACTATGCACTCTGACCAAATCGGGGGCGGGTTTTTATTGCCGGCTGCCAAAGGGGATGGATAATCGCCGACCCAATGGGTTTATTATTATTATTATTATTCTGACGATTTAAATCGTCCACAGTTTTTTTTATGAATAATTACACGAGGTTTTCCGATGTCAACAACCGACAGAAGTTTTCTACTGTTATCGGTCGGCATCGAATCAAATACCGACGTCGACAGTAAAAATAGAACCCGTTCCGATTTTTACCTGAGAATCGCTAATAATAATATCAAATTTCCGTTTCGTTGCACAAGTCACGACACATTTTGTGAATCTCGTTGTTTGACCGGATTGACTTTCGACACGACTACGAACATGTCGTGCAAACGATTGACATTTCAACGCGAAAAAATCATTTTTCGCCTCCGTTTTGGGGCTGCGCGTCTCTCTTAGCGGTTCGAAACAATATGTTTTCTGTGCCATTATTTTTTTATATTTCTACCACTACTATTATTATTATTATTATTATAAAAAATATATTATTATCATTATTTAACGTTAGAGCTGTGAACACGAATCATCAGCAACACTCCCCTCCTGTACTGTTTTTATTTTTTACACGAGCGTTGTTGTAAATCCAACTGCGATCACTATGATGTACAATACATATTTTTAAAAAAAGTATTAATAGTAATTTTTAGTTGATAATATTTGTGTAAATAATGTTGTGTCGTGATTAAGTGATAATGATATTTTGAAAAAAAAATAAATACAACAATTAGGGTATTAATTATTATTAACTTTTACAATAAAACTTACCACGTTATTTTATTTGTTTTTTTTTTCTATCAACACGAGTAAAAAGATATTTAAATTAAACTGCAACGCGCGTTCAACTTTAATCCGATTTATTTTTTCTGTTTTACAATATAATACCAACATGAGTAAATTATTAACGATAAATTCTGTTACAGTCTGCCGGTATAATTTTTTTGTTAAAAATTTATCTCATTTATAATTTTCGGACTCTGTATCTCCTAGCGTTATAATAATAATAACATTATTATTTATTGTATAGTTATAAAAAAACCGTGATAAATTATTATTATAATTGTATAGTTGTACTGCCTCCACCATCGACAATTTTAATGATTCCAATAATATTATCATTGTGTTGTTTAATTATGTGCGAGTTCAAAATTGCACAGTCTTCTTACAGCCCCGGAACGTTTATTTTTGTTTTTTTTTTTTTTTATAATTCATTCTGACTTACTATTATTTTTTATTATTACTATTATGTATAATATTATTATCATTATTATTATTATTATTATTATTATTATTATTATTATTATATTTTTATTGCGTCTTGTGTACATATTAATATATAAATTAAAATTAAAAAGCGAAAAGCAAAACAAAAAAAATATTAAAAATACCTGTATATAATAACAGTATGAAGAAAAAATTGTAATAATAAAAAAATATGAAAAAAAAAATTTTTGCTCGTCTTGTTCTGTTGTATTTATACTTTGTTGTCTCAATATAGAAAAATTCTGATTTTTTAAATTATTAATTATTCTGTTATTTATGCGACAACAATTTCATGTGTACAAAAGCCGTGTCCGGAATTACCTGTTCCGATACCGACTTGATTATCATTGGGAGTGTCGTCATTTGTTTGTCCGGTAGGTGCAATACATTTTTTAATGGTGTACACGTTTTTACAAGATAACTAAATTTGCCTGAAACTGTGGCACGTGCACAACCCGAGTTTGTCACAATATTTGTTATAAAACAAATTTACTCGACAAATATTTAACATGTTTCGCGTGTCATTGCCACAATAAGTGTCATTTGTTGTGTACGGATTAATTAAACATCATAAATAGTTGCAAATAATAACATTAACGATCATCGGTCGTGTAAACGTACTTCAGTGTCGTGTTTTGGGTAAGTGACTTTCGTTTATCTTTTAACGAAATGCGTTGAAGAGTGTCGCACTAAAATGTGTTATCGAAATTATAATACATCTAATAGCCGTTTTGTTGTAAACGTTATGTGCAACAACAGTGTAAATAACCTTTGTAGGTAGTGTGTGTTATTATCGAGAAAATAATCATTTTTTATCGCGTTATTTTAAAAGAAATCCATTTCAACTCTGAACGCATTTTAACGGCGTGTATTTAATATTGTAACGCCAATGGTATTTTATAAGGCTTAACGCGATTCGTGTTTTTTTACTAGCGCTACGATTTAACACGTGTGATGAATTCGTTCGGTTTGCATTCAATTATTTTCAATTAGCCGTAGAAATCCGTCGATTTTCTATGCGATGCACTGACATTTTTTAACATGAAAAAATTCACCGTGTTTTCTACGGACGTGGGTCCGAAATCCGGTAGATCATTGGCGACCGGCCCCTACCTACCGTTCTCATTTTGCAGGGCCCGAAATGACCTTAAGCGTGTTGTCGTCGACCTAGTAGTTTTTCCAAGGCGCGTCATTATGAAATTCGACCGGTTTTTTTATACACTACGACTATTTGAACCCGTCGACGTGCAACGACCACCAGGTTGTTCTCGTGTACTGCGGTGTCAAATTTGTTATGATAATGAAATATTTCGTCGACAAGGTCATCCCTCGCAGCGCATACTCTCCGAGTCCTATGGAAAAGCGGTACACAAATTATTTGTATTCCGCTCGACGACGACGTTTATTATGCCAATGGGTTTCGTGGAACGCGTGAAACTTGCCGTCGAATACGTGGAATTCATATGTGCCGAGGTATTCCTGTGACGTTTATTAATAATATTTTGCCGTGTCAGCCACAGCAGGTGTTTAATTATGAACTTTTTAGTGCGCTTTGGTTATTTTGGAAAATGAGATCGCGTTTGTTTCCTCGACGGCGGCGGTTGGGAGACGCGCGATTGTCATTCTCGTTGTTGCCGCCTGCTACTCTCGATGATATTCTTCGGCATTTCTCGCCAATGTGCCCCGCGTTGCCCCCCCCCCACCAACCCCTAGGGGCTCCGGGGCGTAGTGTCCGGTGCCATCAACGTGTGTGTGCGACTTTCCACGGTAGTGCCGACACAAGAGTCCACCGTAAATGGGCACGAAACGCGGTCGTCCATTCGGTCTTTTGGTTTCATATTTCTTTTTGTTTCTTGGCTGCGTGATCCTCTTGACGACGGTTTGCTGGTACCGTTAACCAATAGCGTTGTGTGCCCACTGCCGCCTCCTGTCGCTGTGCGCGCGCACCGCTGGAAATCAACAACGCCTCTCCCTGCGCGTGCTCCTCGGGCCGCCGCCTTCCGTGCCCCGTCCGCTTTCTTCTAACGTACAAAACGACGGTTTTGGAGTATTGTAAAAAAAAAAAAAAAAAAAAGAAAGTCGTTGCGCGATGATCTCAATATTCCATTACCGCCGGACAGTTGCACGACTGTTTTTATTCAAACTGGATTTTCTTGGAAACTTTTTTTACCCGTCAAAACCGTACCCGGTCGTTTCAAGTACACGTTTGTTGTTAACGGACCGTCGATGTTCGCACGACGTTTACCGCGTAATGTTATCTCTGTGGATTGGGAGACGAGTGACCGCGTTGCTGATAACGACCGTGTTGATTTATGAAAACGAGATTATCCGTTATTCCTCGCAGATTGTTTGACTATTCGGCATTACAAATATTTACATTTGATCAAACGTTACTACCGAATTGTGTGCTTACCTATCGGTGTGATTAGTCGACAATAGAAAACAATCGACGACGGCTATTTTCTTTTTGTACTCTGTGTAAACGACAAACAAGAGGTGCGTTGTTAATTCAATTCAGAACGAGTTTTATGTGTAAACGCGTTTGATCGCTCTAACACGACAACAACAATAATAATAATACCCTGGAAACTATAATAATACGGCGATTGAAGTGACACCGCCGTGCATTTGATTGAGTGAATTCATTTTGACGAATAACCTTATCAGTGTGGACGTTCTTTAATATTCACATCAATCGCTAAATCATTCCGAGTTTACCGACGGCTAATTTGTTCGCCACTAGTATTTGAGTAATTTTTCGGGCGGCATCGAGTTTTTAGCAAATGCTATGGATTTTTCTCGGTCGAATTTGACATGTTCCTAGACTGCCCGACGTTTTGGGCGTAGTTCTAGGTGATAAATTATTGTAATACAAAAACTGTGCTAGCGACCAAGTTCATTAACGACGACTCGTGAACGTGCCGACGAAAAGCGCGTTATTTACATTTTTTAACGCGACATCATTAGTATTCGGTGTGACTCTGCACGGCATTAATACACGCACACAAATATATACGTATAGAGTACCTAGTGTATTAATCAACGGGACTGCGGTACGCATACATATTCATGAGCTGTGCAATTATTGTTCTCGGGAAACACTACACTGTACACGGTTTGTATAAATTAAAACGTACACACACACACACACCGGCGTTATTATTATATTAGGTACGTTAGTATTGTTTTTCGGGAAAAAAAACGGTTGGTCGCCGGCAAATACCTGCAGCTTTTTCGGATAATAAATTGCGGTTGATTTCAAACAGATTTCAAACGCTGTTTTTGGGTCATCTGCAACGTCGTCGTCGTCGTATCCGCATATGGGAAATTCGCAGTACACTTTTATTGTGCCCAGCGGTATAAACAAACGCTGCGGGGAGTGCGAGACAAGAGACGGGCAAAACGGCAGTTTGCCCCGCTGACATGTAACGTACCTTCGGTGGGCGCGGGGGGTACTGTGCTATACGGGCGAGAGCGCACCCCAAAAAAACTAGTTGTGCCGTCACCGCACGTCAAGGGGTCGCGTCCTGATTTCGAACGGGTTTTATTTTTTACACGCGGCGACCCCTAGTCTACCTACCGGCGGCACCGCGTGTCCTCTCCCCCAGCACTCGCAAATCACCTATATTATTACTGGGCGCACAACTGTCAATACGTTTCCGTCACCCCGTGTACAATATCTCTTTCTTCCCTTCTCACGCAGCTCCCCTGCCGCCTCAAAAGTTCAACACCGTCGACGACCAGCAGTGCCCACCCCACCCATCCATCGTTCGTGATAAGGTATCGGAGGGCGACGGTTCGCCCGTGAACCGTCGTGTGTTCCCGCAGCTGATAACGATTACACGCGCAGATAGCTGCCAACATTCGCAGACGCCCAACTCATTGTGATGATAATGCGATGACGCACGTTTACCCGAAAACTATCAACAATAATTGTTTTCGTACAACGCGTCACGTTCATTATCGGTAAAAAAATGTTCCACTCTCCAACGTCACCTTTGATTTTTATACGAGCAAAACTCTCGGTGAACGTCTCGACCACATTCTTTTTTGCAACCGCCGGCCCTTTTAACAGCAGTTCGGTAAGTCGGTTGATTATACAACTTAATAACGACTGGCGACGGTCGTCTTGACATAAAGAGAAAACGTCTATTGTCAGTGAGTTATAAAAATATCAGTCGCGTACCGACACGGGTCCTTTCTTACCATCTAGTCGGTTTGGACAATCGACGTGATTGTTCCTCCTCAGAGATCGGTTTCGTTCTGTAACGAAGGGAAGAGTGTAAACATATTTTTCATCAATAACTAATATTTGTACTTCAATAACGGCACTTGTGTTAGACACCCGGAGAGCTGCGCCGTCGACTTTCCTGAGGTCGCCCGTGTATGTTTACCGTAGTTTGTCCAGAGACTGTACCGTTTCTCAGTACATATCGGATGACGTGTACCGCAAGTCAATATTGAC